TCGTAAGTCGAACGTGGAGAGCAAGCTATCGGCAGGCTGACATTCTGCAATCCGATGAGGGCGGAGGGCCTCGATCTTACAGGAATGTCTTTTGGGTTTAGGGTTTAGGGTCGGGTCCAAGCTTTGGCATCAGGTTTCGTTAGGATTCGAGGTTACCGGTCAGATGTAGGGCTTGGGACTCAAGATGAGCAGTTTCGGCCTTGGGTTCCTTCGTTAGAGTTTCTTTTGTTCATCACGGCGGCTATGCTATGCAAGCATATAGCTCACTGACAGCTCAGGTCGCATGTGGGGCACAGGGCTTGCGATTTATGGTTACTACATAAAGAGGCCTCAAATGATCAGTAAGATTGTTCCTTATCACATTGGTATAATAGTACACCCCGAACCCTACTCTAATGACTAAGGCCAATATATCATAGAAACCTTATGGACAGTATCTCATATCTATATATATATATGTATATATATATGTATGTAAATATAGATAGATAGATAGATAGATAGATAGACATATATATTATAGAACCCTTATCAGCACCCCTTAAAGGAACCCTGGTCGAATATTGGGGTTCGGGCATGCAACCGACAAAAATGAGATTCCGGAGGAACCGCCCCAAACGGCAGAATTTACACCGGTTTCGCGATCCCTGAACACAGCACACCATGGTGAAGTCGAGGGTTCAAGGTTTGGGGCTAGAAGGTCAATCATAAGCTGCCCAAACCTCCTTTCTTGTAGTAGGGCCCCTATACATTCTAGATATTAGGGCTAAAAAGTAGGATATGCTAGTTTAAGGAAGGGTTTAGGTAGCTTCCGTTCTCGCGCTTGCCCGAGACCAGAAGCCGAGGCAGGGCATAGTTCATTGCAGCGTTCCTTCGCCGCTCTTACAATGGCATTGTTTTGGGTTTAGGGTTTCGCTGTTTGAGGGCTTATCCAGCATCCAGGCCGTGCTGCACGAGTTTGCCAAATTACACCCGGCTCCGTTACATGGCAGTTGCTTTGATTCTCAGCTCTTGGCGTGGGCCGCGTCGTTGATCCAAGGATCCGATTCGGCCGAGCATACTTCCACGGACTGCCTCCGACATCCGACCGGATTGGTCTTGGGTTCTGCACTGGTTCCCTAAACCCTGAATCCTGAACCAGGCCAACAACTCTTTCCGATCGCAGTCGCATCATGCACCACGGTGACGTCCAGTATATAGGAAGATATAGACAGAAGATATGATGAACCAGGGCCTTGAGAATACATCATGGGGATTCCTACTGTCCTTTTGCTTGTAAGAGTCCCACAGGACTTTGAGAGGGTTCCAGAAGGCTTGTGTAGGGCTTTATAGTTATCAGGGAAAAGTGAAATATGTATGACAATGTCTAGGGTTTGGGATTTTATTGTTGAGGGTCTAGATAAGGCTCCAGACATCCCCCGACCCCGAAGCCTTGAACCTCTGAACCCCTGAACCCTGAACCTTAAACCCTAAACTCTAAGCCCTAAAACCCTAGACCTCTGAAATCCTAAACCCTAAACCCTAAACCTTATAAACCTAAACCTCTCTGAACCCCTCAACCATAAACCCGATAGACCCGATATAGGTTATTCACTTTTTTTGGAAACTCTACACTTTATACTATATGGGTACTTTGGACCCTTTGGGAAACCCTAAACCCTAAACCCCTAAAACCCTAAACCGCAGTTATATTCACTCAGGTTTCGCCTGCGATTCCGCAGGGCGTCCGGCGACGCCAGGGCCCCAGCGTTCGCATCGGCAGGCCAAAACTCTACCCAGAGAGCCCAATACCCTTAATTAAGGAACATACCTTAAATCATAATATTAAGGCCCCCTATAATTTATGTTATATTCCTTATTTAAGCGGTATTGGGCTCTCTGGGTATGTGTTTCGATTTTAGGGTTTAGGGCTTAGGGCGTTTAGGGTTTGGGGCTTAGGGCGGTGAGGGTTCAGGGTTCAGGGCTTAGGGCGGTTAGGGTTTAGGGTGCTTGGGGCGATTAGGGTTTAGGTTTAGGGCTTAGGGCCATTAGGGATTAGGGATTAGGGCGATTGGGGTTTAGGGTTTAGGGCTTAGAGCAAGGTCTACTTACCTTATAGAAGCCCTATATACCCTGAACTCCCCACCTGTAGTTTCCTTTAACTAAGCACTAGAGCCCGAAGTCCTTGTCAAGATTGTAAGCCGCAGACGATGTCCTAAATCCTGGAACCCTCAAGTAGCCGTAAACACCTAAACCCCTGCAAAAGCCCGAAATCCCCTAATACTCTGATACTGCAATATTATATGTAGTTCTACATTACGGTATTACTACTATAGTATACTAGAGTACTATTATGCTATATTCCTATACTACTACAAGGAAGTCCTGAAACCATGAAGCTTCACCCGTCGTAGCAACATACTCAAAAATAGCCGGCAGCTGATGTTTCAGTTCTTGTGAAGTCTCACCTGATCGTCATACTGAGACTGGTTAGGCTGGCGGTGTTGGTTTGTTTACGAGATCAGGGTTTAGAGTTTAAGCTCCGGGGTTCGGGGCATAGGATTCAGGCTTTTCAGGTTCAGGGTTTACCAGGCCCCATTTAGGGCTCAGGGTCTAAAGTTCCGGGTTCAGGGTTTGGGGCTTTGAGCGTTCTTTTCTCGAACGCTCCATCCGCCACTCAGGCCCGCAACTACAAAGACCTTTGCGCCAGGTCGCCCCGGGAAGTTTGTAGCATTTGAGGTTTCGGATTTAGTGTTTAGGGTTTCAGGATTTTGGGATGTGGGGTTTAGAAGGTTGCTGTAGGGCTAAGGGACTTTAAGGTTGAGGAGCAAAGCTGAGGATGAATTGCAAGGGCCATTGAGAAAAAATGCCACATCGACATCTTGCAGAGTGGCACTTTCTATGATGCTTACTTGCAAGGGCTCCACTTCTTGCACGCTCCTGAACCCTCGTAGAGCTCCACAAGATCAAACCTCGAAGCAAAACTCTTATAGACCCGTAGAATTAAGCTCTTTCAACAAGCCCCCAGAATCCTGGCAGCTTCCCCCGAAAACCCTAAACCCTTAACCCTAAACCCCTGAACCCTAAACCCCGGAAACCCTAAACCCTTAACCCTAAACCCCTAAGCCCCAGAAGCCCTAAAGCCCCAAGCCCTCAAACCCTAAACCCCTAAACCCCTAAGCCCCAGAAGCCCTAAAGCCCCAAGCCCTAGCCCTAAAACCCTACAGCCCTAAAACACTAAAGCCCTACGGTCCTAAAACCCTAAACCCCTGAACCCTAAGCCCCTAAAGCCCTAAACCCCTAAGCCCTAAACCCCTAAAGCCCTAAAGCCCGAAACCACCCTAAAACCCTAAAGCCCCTAAAGCCCTAAAACCCCCAAAGCGCTAAAGCCCTAAAACCCTACAGCCCTAAAGCCCTAAACCCCTGGAGCTTTGGGTTGCAGGCTCCTGAAGACAATGGCCCTGTGAGCCGATCCCAAGAGGTGTAGGGCGGGTTTAGGGACCTAGGGTTCAGGCCTTTTAAGGATTTAGGGTATTAGGGTGTAGGGCTTTAGGGATTTAGGGTTTTAGGGCTTTAGGGTTTAGGGCTTTAGGGTTCAGGGTTTAGGGCTTTAGGGACTTAGGTTTCAGGGTTTGGGGCTTTAGGGACTTAGGGTTCAGGGTTTAGGTTTTGGGGTTTACCTTAGGCTTTAGGTCTCGGGGCTGATCTAGGGATCTCGGACATATAAGGGTTTAGGGTTTAGGGTTTTTTTTCGCAGGATGCCGAGTCGCGATTGTAGAATTGGGGGGGGTTGGGGGGAGGTCTGATGTTTTGGGGGTTGAGGGCCGGGATGTTGAGACTTTGAGAACTGAGGGTGGTGCAGCTGAGGTCAGGTTCAGTGTGTTGGGCCGAGCAGGCTTGAGGAAGTTGAGGGAGCCAGGTTTCAACGTGGAGGGTTTAGGGTTGAGGGTTTGGGTGTAGGGTTTAAGGCGTAGTTTGTATTGAGGATGTCGACCTGGCGCATAGGAGCTGCTTTAATGCTTGATTCAAGCTTGTTTGGATTGGTTCAGGATGTATCCGGGGCGTGCTGGGTACAAGTTTCAGAGATTTCGGGCATACAGTCATTGTGATTTTTACGCTTGGGCAGATCAGGACTCTAGCAGCTAGCTCCTACATGGACTCAAGAGCTTTAAGTCCCTCCCTTTACCGCCCTTTGCTGGCCAAGTGTTTCGCTCAAAGGGATTAGCTGGGCAACCTGATGACAAGAACCTCAGGCAAAAGACAAGTTTTTATCAAGCGAATGCATCAGATATAGGTTTCCTGAGGTTCCTTCTGAAAGTTTCCGAGAAAACAACTTTACACGGCAGAGCCGCCTAGCCGGCGCTGCACAGCGCCGATGCATGAATTGAGTTTTCCCCTGCTGCGGTCAGGATTGAGTCAGAAAACCAATGGTTATCGCCTAGAATATAAGCCGTTCTGAAAGCCCTTATACAGAGGTAATTAGTCATTTCCCTTTGAGCCCACTATGAGTGCTTTACAATATATACCCCAAACCCTCTATCTAGGGCCCCCACTTTCCACACTGTTTCTGGATGGCATGCCCCTCCAGGTACGACCGAACATCCCTCGCCAAAGATCCAAAGCGGGCTATACCACCACCACCACCACCACCACCACCCCGACCGCCACCGCCACCACTGCCACTGCCAGTGACACTGCCACTACCACCGCTGCTACTACTACTACTACTACTGCTGCTCCTGCTGCTGCTGCTGCAGCTGCTGCTGCTACTGCTACTGCTCCTGCTCCTGCTCCTGCTCCTGCTACTGCTACGGCTACTGCTACTGCTACAGCTGCAGCTGCTGCTGCTGCCGCTACGACGACGACGATGATGGAAACAGACGAGACTTCGCAACAGGAAGAAGCTGCCTCGAGCATCAATATGCTAGCACAGACGGCTATCATGTTGTCTTTTTTGTCGCTATCGCATTGGTAGGGATGCTCCGAGCCGCGGGGGTCTCGAGCCTTCGTTGTGCGGAAAGGTGCAGCGGCGGCTCTTGACGGAGATCCTCCAACGACACCAGGGCCAAGACACAACCACGGCAACCATCGAAGCGAGGCGTCACTTGCAAGGAGCAGGCTGTGAAATGGTTTACGCAGAAGGAGGTTTTAATCTCGAGCTTTTGAATCAGCATGAGCATGCGGAGGAGTTGCGACTTACAATCTCTTTCGAGAGAGCCAACCCATCACTTGCCGTGGTGACTACAACAAGGGTGGACGCTTCCACAATGAAGGGAAAGTGGCTGAAACCAACAGCGGCCACGAGGAGATGAGGCGAATCTTCCTTTACAGGGCCGTGCTAACGTCCTTTGCTGTCCTTGCACAGTTTTTCCCCGAGTCACTGGATGAGCTGCAGCGCGCGGCTGTTCTGGGCTCGGTGCGGGACGTGCTGCTCCTGTTGGGCCTCTCCGAGATGGTAAGTCAGAGGCTCTCCTTCGTCCTTGCCAGCCCCCTTGAGGCCTACGATCTCAGCGATGCAGACAGGCTTTATGTTCATGCGCTCTTCGCCCTGAAAGACCCTGCGCTCGGCATCATCCAGTCTGGTTCGGCATGGGGCGTGCGAAGGCTGCTGCAGGTCGCCAAGGAGAACCGCCGCCACCTCGTACAGGACATGCGCAACGGCCCCCTGGGAGCATCCAGCAGGGAGAGCTCCAAACCCTTAAACCCTAAGCCCCGAACCCCCGGGAGGGAAAAGAGGGTTAAACAAAAACGGAGCTTTTCAAGCTTTTTCACTTGGTCAAGCGACTTCCGAAGCGACTCAAAGCATTCGAAGCCGAAAGAGTTCACGGAGTTTCATCCGGCTTGAGCCTTTATTCATTGTGATACTTCAACCTGCAAGCTGTTTAGGGTTTCAGGGTTTGGGTCTTAGGCGGTTTCGAGTTTGAGGCCATCTCTGGGATCGGCAGCTGCCCGAGGCAGCGCCACAGCCGAAACTCCGCGCGGCGCTTGATGTGGCGCCGCGTGGTCGAAGGCATCAGAGGTCGTTTTTTGGGGTTGCAGGGGGGGGCTAGCGGCCAGGGGCAGCAGGCTTCTGCCTTTGGTTTGTAAACTCCGGGTTCACGGTTTAGGTTCTTCGAGGGAATGGCCGAGGCTCTCTGGCCCGGATGGACGTCGGTCCCGAGAGGTGGATGCTTGGACCAGGTCCTTGCATCTTGGGGGACTGCTTCAAAGAAGGGTCGACGTGATGCTGTGCCCAAGGACAGGATGCTGAAGACCAGTGCGGTCGCATCCGATCTGTGGCCGCGGCTGAAGGCGAGGAATTGTCCTCAACAGATACATAGGAGAGTTGCCGTGAGTCTGTCGTGCGTGCTCTCGATAACTTCAATGCCACGACACGTGCGATTTGCTTCGGACCATGCAACAGAACTAAGTTCACTCGAGCCTTGGGCAATCGAAGGACTCCTGAGTAGGGCGGGCAGACGGAGCAATCGAGCCTCGTTTTTTGCATTGAGTCGCTGCCATCTTGATCTACCTTGGGAGGTCGTCGCCATCACTGGAGAAACTTCGCTCGATGAATCATTGAAGGAAGCGGTTGGCGAGGTGCCCATCTACGGCCCGTCCCTAGATGCAAGGTAATTGAAGGTAAACCACTGGCTTGGGCATTGTCTGCTTCCTCTTCTGAGTCGCTCGTGTTGTGTACTTGGACTCTGCGCACGAACTTATGTTGCACATAAGGCTTTACACCAGCGACGAAGGCTATATCGGAATCAACTTGTTCCCAGAATTGCCCTTTGGCGTCTGGACCTACCTGTTAGAGCCATGCATGGCCTAGCAACTGTTTTCAGATTTGTTTCCCAAAGTGGTGAGCATCCCGACCTTGTGAATTCCATGACATCGTGACCAAGGATCCCGGCAGCATGTTCTTCGAACTCGTACCCGCGGGCTCTCATGATGTGCACCCTGACATGGTTATCCCAGCATGGGAAGCTGTTGTGGGCCAAGAGTACGACCTTCTTGTTACCACGCACAGTGGTCTCTGCCGGTGCCGGCTTGGAGACAGAGTCCGGGTTCACGCGATGTTTGGCAAAATGCCAATCGTCTCAGTGGCAAAAGATGATACGGGCCTGAACTGTCCAAGCGTTCATTGCTGCAATGCTCCTGTCAGGTTGGTTGGAGTTTCTTCTTCCACTTCGTCAATGCATGTGCAGCGCGGGCTCAAAGTAGTCGGTCTCTAAATGAAGCTGCGGCGCTTCGACCTATAGCAATCCCACTATGGGGAAGCCCTCGTTGCCGACCATACTGGCCATTTGTGCCCTTGCAGCCAACTATGGCTCTCGCTCTGTGCTGCCGGTGGTGTCCCACGTGATTTGCAGTGACTCGCACTGTTCCGCCTCGGAGCTTGTCGGGGCTTCTGCCAGTGCATTCTTTGCCGGGGACCTGGTGGCGCAGCTGGCAGCCAAGCCCCTCGTCCAGCGCTACAGTGGGCAACAGCTGCTGAGTTTGGGCACAGCTGCCTGGGCTGCAGTGCTGCTACTGGCAACCCGGCTGCCATGATGTCATGATGTGTCATGCAGTGAGGGTCGGAGACTTGCGACATCTTGAGATCCTGTCTCTCTGAACTTCAGGTTCCACTCGCTGTGCAGGGGCCGATGCTTGGGCTTCTGCTGCTGAAGTTGCCGTTCGGATTCTGTCGCGAGCTCAGAGATGGGCTACTGAAGGACATGACATAAGTGACATAACTTTAAAACGCTGGTTCGGGCCACCCTTGCCTTCGCTAAGAGCGGAGGCTGCGGTCTCGGCTACCCGGCCGCGCACGCACTCCTGGCGGAGGCCGTGCCAGCCGCAGAGAAGGGCTTGGCGGTGAGCTTGAGCCTTGGAAGGCATTTATGATCCGGATCACATCGTCTCGCTGTTCTGACGAATCTGCTGAGGATCGTCAGTGCATCAGCCATGGGAGCGATGATTAGCATCTGCGGCTGCATGGGGAGGGATACTGCAGGATGCAGGATTGTTTCTGGAGGGGGGAGAAGCGTTTCATCTGTTTTACGCCGAGATTTTCTGCCCAGAGGTTAGGTTGAAGCGCTGTGAAGAGGCAACTTCATCACTCCTCAGCTTGTCGATTTCTGCGGGTGGCCAACTCCGTCACTTGGCTTTGCAGGCGAGCGCGGAGCGCATCTTTGTTTTGCTTAGAGCTTGAACCTCCTACTGTTTGTGGCACCGGCAGAGGTTCGTGCTGTTTGCAGTCCTTGGCGGCGCCACTGCTGTTGCCATCCGTATGCTTCCGAGCTCTCGGCCCAAAGCGAAGGCAGTCGTTCTGACGTTCTGTCAGAGAGAGAGAGTCTCCGGATGCGTGAGAGGCGCTCGTGGCTGAAACCGCGGACTGGGAGGAGCTGCTTGTCTGGTCCAAGGAGCCCCTAATCCTCGCGATTTATTTCGCCATGTACGCTTCCGGTGTGGCCAATGCCTTCCTCTACAGCTTCGTGCCCAGCCTCTTCGTGGAAGCCTATGGGGCGCAGGTGTCCGATCTTGCGTGGCTTACAGCCGCCGCGCCGCTCTGCAACTCGGTGTGCTGCGTTCTCAGTGGCATCCTGGCCGATCGGCTGGCCAAATCCTGGCCAACACACCGCTGCCGGATGCTCATGCAGTCTGCAGCTCAGCCAATGCTCGAAGCCTGCACCCCCCGGGCCCCCCGGGCTTCCGGTCTCCTCTCCAACCTCAGCCTTGTTCCGTAAGATTTCACACAGCCAGGCTCTTGGGCACTGCGCTGCCTGCTCTGTGCCTGGTGACCATCTGCAGTTCGGAGAGCCGTTTCAGCGTCTCCATCCTGCTGACTCTCTGGATGGGCACCCACGGCTTCCAAACTTCCGGGCTCACGGCGTTGTTTCACGACGTCGCCCATACCAGGGCCAGCGAGCTCTTCGCGATAGGAAACGTCTTCAGCAAGTTTGCCGGCATCCTTGCAGGTCCCATGTTCAGCAGAAACGCGGCCCTGTGGGGCTGGAAGTGCGTTCTCTGCGGCTTGTCCGTCCACTATGCGATGTCTGGCATCGTCCTTATCAGCCTTATGCACAGAAGCAAGGAAGCGGGCAAGCTTTTCTCTACAGAAGAGAAGCTGCACACCAAGCCCGTGGCCTTGAAGATGGATGCTCGTCTGCAGGATGACTAAGGCGCCAGCTGTTGTGCCCTGCCAAAGACACTCAGGAGCAGACCAGTACAGGGCGAAAGACAGCTGGAGGCCAGGAAGAGCCGACGGTCTCACTTTCGCCAGATTCAGGCAGGTGGGGGACGTAGCTCTCCAGGCTTGCCTTCGGTGAGCGTGGGCGTTGGTATGGTGCAGCGACTGTGATCCTTCTGCCTGCGAGGTCCTTGCTCAGAGCTTCCACACAAGGTTCCGTCGCACCTCTTCCGAACCTAGCCTGCTTTCCATTTTTGCAAAAGCAGTGAATAGGCCCTAATTACGGAGTCCCTACGGGGCGGAAAGCCGTTGAACAGAATTCATTACAGCCTTTCCCTTCCAAGCCGGGCTCCAGGGGCTTTTGTGCCATGCAGCTCAAGGGATGTCTATTCTGCGATGTCAAACGATGATTGATCAGTCTAGCATGTCCGCCAACAGGGAACCGAATTCTCAGGTACCCTCCCGACCAAGTGCCCCAGATGACGCAGCGGCGTGGCCGCGCCCTGGGGTGAGAATTTCTGCATCATCGTAAGCTTGTAATGGTATGTCGATAGGATTTGGAAACGCCCTCGGCGGCTGGCGCAGGGCGGCATGCTTGATGCCGCATTAACACCAGGCAGCTACTCCAGCAACGCCTTCCACGGAAATGCAGCTGATTTGTCGCTTCGAGCGTGCCGGGCTTTCCAAAGGTGCAAGAAGTTCTCAGAGTCGACCGGGAAGCGAGAGCAGACGGGTTTTTGCTTGTAGAGAATGGAAGACGTATTTACAAAGGCTCCTTGAATCTCACTTTCTGGGAGACTTTGAGGCAATAATTGGGAGAGACCCGGCGTTGTGACGAGCTTGCAAGCCAGTTTGCAGCTCTCCTTCTCCCACTGCCGGGGGCAAATCGTCTAACTTGGCCAGTCCAAAGATAGGTCCGGAGCCGCGGCCCGGTGCGCCGATAGGTCAAAACACCAGGTCCACACCTTGCAGATCCGAGTCCTCTTCCAGCGATCCAGAGCGTCTAGCAGCTTTGTAGCATGTGAAGTACTGCAGGGTGTGGAGCACCTCCTGCTGTCGGTGGCTGGTGCCGCGCGTTGTAGTCGCACAAGCTAGTCCTGCACAACACTGCAGGTTCTCGCGCCACGCTTCATGTTGCAACTACAAAAGTACTGTTTGGTGGCAGCAAGCATGAATCATCGGGAGACACTTTCTTCCAACATGAGGCGTTGGCGGCTTTGCTTGATTGATCGCGCGCATTCAGGAAGCTGAGCGCGCAGAGACCTCAGACAGATGTCTGCGAGATGGCTTGAAGAGAAGTATGTTTTTAGTATCTGATGCCTGTTCCTGTGCATGCATGTTTGCATGCTCGCTTGCTAATCTTCGTTTGGCAGCGAACATGTTTCGAGCCAAGCCGAGGGACCAGGCACAACACAGACTCCGAGTGAAAGCATCGCCCAGCTGCACTCACAAACGGTGACGTAACTTTGGAAGCCCACGCAGGTGTGTGAGATATGTTACCACAGTGAAACAAGACCACTCCGGTCCTGAAGGAGACTGTTCACTGGTGAGCAACCTGTTTTCCAATGACCATGTGCATGGCGCCTTTCCTTTCTGCTTCCAGGCCTGGTCAGAAGCTGTTCTATCCTCGAACAAGCATAGTTACCTCGGTAGGGTGTGCTGCCACTGGCTTGG